AACCAACCTGTTCGGTCTTTAGCAATTTTCCAAATAAGTGGAGCGGTCAACATATCCTACTACGTCACCTTTTGCCCTTAAATCGGAAGTAGCTGCAAACTGATCCTGAAGCACCATTTTGAATTTAACAGGTGCGAAATGCCTGCCAAACATATTCAAGTTTCTGCTCATAGTGTCCAGAAGACCTATCATTTTGTCATTATTTTTCCCCACCAGCATGATGTCGTCTGACTACTCCAAGTCAAGCGGATGCCCTTCAAGGAGTAGATTAGTTTCTGTGAAGTCAGAGGTACCTAAAGTTATGTCCATTAGTAAATCTATAACGAAGTTAAACAGGAACGATAGCAGTGGATATCCGTGGCGGACATCACTAGCTGTCGTCAGTTCTGATGACAACTTTCGTAAGGCCTTACATGACTGCGCGAATTTCAGTATAGAGCTTCGATAAGCATTATTCCTTTCAGTGAGACACTGCTGCATCTCACAGTCGATAGAGTCAGATGGTGCCTTTAGGTCAGTAAATATAGCGATGCGCTGGTAAGTATGCCTGTGTTCTAGGGCAAAAATGTGATCTGTGCAGCCTCGTCCAAGTCTGAAACCCGCCTGTTCTTCTCGAGTTTGCTGTTCTCGAGCTCCGGTTAGGCGTCGAATAACTATGGACCCTAGGATCTTGGACACAATATTATTCAAACTAATTTCACTGTGGTCGTTGCAAGAAAATTTGTCACCGTTGATATAGACTGGGATGGTCAGTGAAGTAGATTGGTCTGTCAGAACCACCTCCCATGCATCACTTAGTACAACCGTTGCTCTAATCAGCAATTTCCTACCTCCATTACTAAAAACTTGATGTCCTTCTGCTTTGTATCGTTTGACGTTCGTTACGGCCTTCTCAACTTCAAACAGAATTGAAGGACCAGCATCTACGTTCCATTCAGGTTCAGACTGAATGCTGGGCAAATGAATCCTTAATGTGAGCCAGTTGGACTGTGCTTCAAAGTGTTGTACCCAACATTCTAGCCACCTGTTATGAGAAATTATTAGAATCCCATCTTTTTTAGCAGGGGTCACTGATCATCGTCTTCTTGTGTGTGTCTTTACTAAGCCTAAATAATTGTCGAGTACTACCCGATACCTACTGCATATCTTTTGCTTTCACCAGCGACCACTACTCGCCATCATTGCGAAGACTCTTGATCTGTGTAGATATCAGCCGCTTTTGCACCTCCTTGTATCTGAAATGAGTTTATCCCTTCAGTCAGTTCAGATAAGGTTGGGGAAATCGACTGAAGTTTCTAAAATTTGGACGTGGGGTTTTAACGATCTTTGGTAGAAAGTCATTGAAAGATAGAATGGATGCAAGGACACTTAAATTCACTGTGACGATTAAGATAAGGATAATGTGTGGATTTATCTATGCCATTGAGTTCAAGTCAGCTGTATCACCTAGAGTCTCTAACCACTGATTTTCGTTGTAACGCGAACAGTGGTCGAATACTTCATGAACTGATACCGGGGTTTAGTTTAGTCACCTATAAAACGTTTTACAGCTCACACTTACTTCAGCTGACATTATGTTATGGGGTATATTGTGAATAAGCATGTGTAACGCAAATCCTAGCCATCTCAGTCGATGAAGGCTCACAACTGCATATCGTCCACCTTTAATGGCTATATTTCACAGCCATATAGTAGAGCAAAGCCAGCTGCACCGCAGTATACTCTGCCCTTAATACGTATTTGGATATCACAGCGGTGCCACAGATGATGTAAGTTGATGAAAGCCAATTGAGCTTTTGGTATCTATTTTGAGATTTCCTCGGTTACTTACCAAAACACCACGGCTAATCCGACTTTCTGGGTGAGTGAAGTGGTCAATCCTCCCAAGCACTTCACCCTCTATTGTTAACGGGGACACTGCTGAAGACCACTCCTGGATCAACGATTTGCATTAAGGTGGCAAGAAACAGATCTCAAACCGTCATTCAAGCTGTCCAGAAGAATGCATATTGTCAGCGTTTCCACCTAACGAGACTATGTCATCTGCTTATTCTAGATGTGCTAAGGATTCTCCTGTGGCTTTGATGTCGGACGATGAGAGGATGATAAAGTTGAGTAAGAGTAGATGGAGTGGACGTTCTTGTTGAGCACAACTCGACGTACAAAACTCATCCAATAACTGACCGTGGGCTGTGATATACCCACGTGTTTTCAGGTATAGAGCCTTCAACGGACTGACTTACTTATTCGAAACTTCTTTCGGCGAGAGACACTGTCATAAGGCCTCTCGGTTGACAGGATCGAATGTCCTCTTCAGATCGGAAAATTCAGTCGGTGTTTATCATCGATAACTGTGCCTGTTTTCTAGAACCTGGGGGAGAGTAAATTGCGTGTCACTCCTCCTATGGCTAGGTCTGAATCCTTAATGGTTTTCTCGCGTTTGCTGTTCCTGAGCTCAACTCAGACGTTTAGTGTTTTTAGAACGTAGAATTTTTGACACTATGTTATTCAGGCTGTTTCCCCTGTGGTTATCACAAGAGGACTTTTCACCTTTCTTAAAGACTGAATCAACGATCGAAACCAGTCAGAGGGGATCATAGCTGGCTTCCGTATGCTATCCAACACTTCAGTTAACCGGACTGATAGTCATAGGAAAAGACAAAAAAGATGGTTGGAGTAAGGAAATTTTCTTATTTTGACGAAGTCGTTTACTAAGCTGACTAGTAATCCTGGACAACAATCATGCTGTTCCTTCAGTGCTAGTACATCCAACTCTGTTATCCTTCCTTGTTTCAGGTTCTGGGAGTGTTGGGGCCCTACCTTAATGTCACACTCGGGATCTGACTGAATAAGGGTCAATAAGACAGTAAATGGAGCGGAGTTGCAGGCTGCACTCGCTGTGGTCTCGTTACTAGTATTTCCATTTTATTTAGATGCAAATTTGCGCGTGGTCACTGTCTAAACATGTGATGCAGTAGGAGCAGCAATATCCCACCGAGTCTTCAACGACAACTGATAGCAATATTATCTATCTGTGTTCACCACTGAGATGAGGTCGGTTGACACCACATCCAACAGTGTCTTTTTATGTCTGAAGTTCGTGCTGATTAGAATTAGTCAGTTTCTATGAGGACAGTTGTAACTGACGATTGCGCTTACCTGTTCGTTCGGCTGTGACTCCGAAAGTGCTGCCTAAGTGCCTTTTTGCCTGATTTAGCGCACTCATGTATTAAAATCACGTAAGACAACTACCACATCCGAACGCTTGACTTCAAGTAGGAGGCTAGTCACTTTTCTGTAGAACTCATCCTTCACTTCATCCAAATTGCAGTCAGTCGATGCGTAAGCAAAGATTGAAAAGAAACAAAGACGAATTTCACTGTTCTTTTGAATCCTCACTGTGCCGTTCAGTTGAACAGCGCATCTAGTCTCCCAAAAGGGTTAATTTTGCGGATTCACCACATTGGGTGGTTGGACTTAAATGAATAACCGAACCAGAGTCCTGTCTGCATGTCTTGAAAACAGCACACATCTATGATTCTGGCTGCTAGATCTTCAGACAGTGACGCTTGTTGACCCATTTGATGGAGTGTGCGGACATTGAAAGCTCTAGCATGTAATTTGAGATGCGGTTTTAAGAGACCATTGATACTGTTCCTTGGATTGGAATTGTTATCAAAAGCTATAGAGATGGAAGAAATTAAAGGTGGTGTAGGATTATTGACCGAGAGACGTGGAGAAAGGTTAGAAGCTAATTACACGGAAGGTGGATAATGATCTGAGGGTACTTGTCTGATGACAGAAGTGTTCAGGCGGTTGTTACTCCCCCCTTCCCACACCGGAGAGGACTAGTTCTTCCTAAGGTACCTGAAAAATGGGTTAGTACATAACCGAAGAGCCCAAGGGACATCTGCTGGAAGCCAGCCACACTGCCTTTTTTGAAGTTTGACACTTTAATTTGCTTTTTATGAATCCGACTACGAATCCGTAACGTCGGCACAGGCTTACCGCAGAGTAGACGGGAGTATGCTGACTTTAGGGCTGACCTTTTCTAACTCCGTTCCTTCCCATAAGGAATACAGCATCAGCGTAACATTGCTGGCCATCCACGGGGAGCACCATGCTTCCGTCATACTCCCACCCAGCCAGCAGTATGATTTTTCCCTTGGATCCCCATCATAACGTAGCTACCTATATTATGCCGGTAACTACATTTTGTTTTGCTACTATCCACCAGACATCTTTGGTATGGTACGACCGCGAGTAAAAAGCGTTCCAGTCAGTGTAGCTCGTTTGGTGATTGTGATGAAAAGTGTACCTTCACGTCAAGGTAGCAGCTATCGGTCGGATCTCTCGTCGATGCCAGAGATAGCCTTAGTTAACAAGTGATGAAGTGTCTTCGTGTCCGTCCTGAGGTTTTGTTTCTAACTGTTTCATTCAGTCTGTTGCGAATACGCGCGTAAGTAGATTAGTTGATGCATATCACCACTTCACTCCCTATTCTTAAACTTGAGGTTGGTGAAGACCGTTCCTGAAGGGTCATTTTGCGTTTGATATATGCGAAACGCATTAAAACGTACTCATATATTTAGCTGAAGGTGCCTACAAAACTTAACATTTTTTCAGCATCTTCGCGTAACAGGATTAAGTCGTCTGCGAATTCCAAGGTACCTAGGTACTCTGTGGTTGAGTAATTCAATACCTGAGAAGTTGGAGGTATTCATGGTTTTATCCACCAGCGCGTCTATGCTAAAAATACATGTGAGGGGTGACAGTGAACATCCCTAGTGGATACCACCGGATGCTGTTACTTCAGAAGACACCTCTATTAGTCCTTATATGACTGGAGGAGATCTTACAAGCAACCTGGAAATAATACTGACTAGAACCTGCAACTTTTGAGCATAACGTTTGGCATTAAAATGAAAAGTTCAGCTTATTTTTCTTTTGCATTCCATAAGCCACTGATCTTTATTAGTATTCATTTTCCATTTTCCCAGCTACTATATGAAGTCTCGTAAAGTGCGATGCTTGCGACAGACCACAGAACTTAGTGCATCTTCAGATTCTGACGAAGATGATGTAGATGATTCTGCCCCTTCTATTGTAACAGACTCTAATGTGGTCGTGGAAGCTGTTAGAGAACTTCAGAAACTGAGAAAGCGACCAGCTGGCATTGGTTTATCTGCATTAGCTACTGGTAAAGAAATTCCAAACCTTAATTTGGCAATATCTAATGATCCATTTAAATTGAAAACTGGTGGTTTGGTTGATCTAAACAGCATTTCATCAGCTAAACAAACAGAAGAGGATGATGATGTTGAAGCTCGCCTAGCAAAGACTTTTGCTACAGAAACTAATAAAAGGGATGAAGATGCTGAAATGTATTTCGTTACATATGTTAATGTAATATGCATATAATTTAGGATTAAATATATCGAGGAGGAATTAGCCAAGCGAAAAGGATTAATTAAACCATCCTCCCTGGAACGGTAAGTTATATTATTGTTTATATTAATTGTATGCAATTTCTTTCTTTATCTAAAGACTTAAAATCTGAACAAAATACTGTTCCTAACTTTTTCGGCGTAACATTATAGTGAAATTTTGAGAGTCGTTCGTTAAATCATAATAAAAGACGCGTTATCTTTTTCTCGTAACGAAAGAGTTAATCAAAGCCACGAATCTTTCTTTCTTTTTTTATTGAACTGGTTGGTGTTCATCTGCAAAATATTCTAATGAAGCCATGAAAACTCACTTGGTATTCACTTTCAAAAAGGAAATCTTGGTACATCAGGGAATATCAAATGATACACCGTAGAAGATGACGAGACAGAGGTATAAAAATGTTGAAGATTACACATATTCATGATAAACAGACAAAACCAACATAGAACCTTGTGCATAGGTGGATCCACTGAAGTTGCTACACTTCACAGTAGTACACATAGAACAAGCGGACAGAAAAGGAGTGATATTAAAGAAGATAAAGTAGTGCGAGAAAATGAGCAATCTGAAGACAAAGGTTAATGCAGATGTTCAAACTTCAGATGTCAAGTAGTGAATAAATGTGTGCTACTGCGACTGGCTTTCAGTCATGTCACCACGAGTCCTCAATCACTGATTTCTATCGTCTTGGAGACCCCACACGGGTTAACTTAACAGTCAGAGACTTCATCGACTAGTGTCATTTCTTGGTCTGGTCAATCTTAACCTTTTTCCAACCTAGTACAACTTCTCATAGCATGGCACGTCGATGTAGGCGATGGTTTGGTATACATAACACATGTCCAAACCACCTCAGACAATGAAACTTCATAACCTCATCAATCCACTTGCCTATCTTGACTACTACCGACTACATACGACTTCAACATTACTCACATGGCTATTCCATCAAATGAGAGAAATGCAACAAACATAAATGTGATCATTATCATGAAACCGATTCATTTATTCTACTTTCAACGATCATGCCTCACACTCGTATAACAGGACAGAACGAACTGCAGTGAAGTATACTCACCCTTTGATACATTGTTGGATTGATCGCCAGTCGATGCCAAAGTTGACGCGAGTTGGTGAATGCCAAACTAGCCTTCTGTATACAATCTGAGACTTCTTCAGTAACTAGTCTGTTCAGGGTGATACAAGTCAACACATTCCACCACTTCACTCTTTATCATTCAGTTATGTGTGGTTGCAGATCAGTCCTGGAGCATCATCTTACATTTGACAGGTGAATGCTAAACGTATGCCGCTTATTCACAGTAATAATAAAAATAGTAACATTAGTGAAACAGTCAAGTTTAAGGTCAGAATGTATTTCCAGACATTAAAGGGGGTATGCTAATTTTATTGAGAATACAGATTGGCGAATTGACTTTCTTACTATATTGCGAAAATGGATTACATTTTGATTATTTCCAAAAGTGCATAGCATACTTAGGAATTCATAAACCCCTATGAAGTATCCTGATAACTGGAAATAGTTCTTGATACTGATTTGACCTGTTGTAACTGGAAATAAACTTTTCAACCATTCATATGTTCGGATTTAGTCAGTGCCAATAGTCTCGAGTGATTTTAAAGGCTACCCTAACAAATTTTGAGATAACCAAATTGGTCTTCCATATTTTATCATAGTCTACCTTTCTAGTCGAAATACTGAAACCTGATTGGCTGTTGCAGTAGTTGCTGAGGTGGCCTTTAAAGTTGCCCATTGGTGTCAAATCTGTATTCAATTTAATTAATATCCCACATGCATGCTAATTATTGGACAAACAGTAAGATAAGTGGTAGCAAGTATTAAATTAATTCTTTTCAGGCATCTGGCAATTCGCAAATCACTCACACTTTTAGGAGTAGTATTCACCACGGACTGACATTAGTTGGGGAACCATTGGAGACCTGAGAGCTGTTTCGTCTTAGTGTGGGACTCCTCAGCAGTACGCACCCACGACCCGGCCAGGGGTCGAACTCGGGACCTTCAGGTTTCACGGCGAACGCGTTAAGCATTCAGCCACTGGGCCGGTTTCCACTGGTTCACAATTCCCAACTTCTGTCGATTCACGGCATAGTGCGACTGTCACCCAACATCTTCCTTCAGTTAGCATCCACTTCACTTCCGATTGCTTGACCCTACAGGTCACGGCTTCTCATTAGAACTTCCTGACATCCATCTGGAAGCAAGTCACTAATGAGCACTATAGAGTAATGTATTTTTGAGATGAATGGGGATTTTTAATTTAGAAGTAGTATTCATCATGGACTGACATTAATCTTACACTTTTATACATTTTACTTGACAGACCATAACTCAGTGACATTGACAGGTAAATGAGTCTAGCCTCTCAATAATAAAAAAAAATACGTAACAATACATAAGTTTTATATTATTGATGGATTATGGCTAGCAGTGAAGTCGAGAACGCGTGTTTTGTCGTGTTTGCGATCCGTCAGTTGGATGTATCTACCTTCCATTGAGCGATGTTGTCCCCAGTGAGACGCGAACCCGGGACTTATCACTTCAAGCTCCAGAGCGCGTTATCCACTAGGCCATTGAGTCAAGACAGCTACTTATTGTGCGATGGGTATATTTTCTAAAATGTTGTAACTTGTTACTTGATCGAATTTTTCCTATGTGGTGCTATGCAATAGTGCATCTTATTTTGATGCTAGACTTTAGAATTCTTTGTTGACCAACTCCTTACATTGAAAAACCAAAGACTGTCTGCAGATAATACTGTAAAATTTACTTTCGGGAAGAGGTATCTTCAATGAAAAGTATTAACATATTATTGAATCTCAAAATTATTTATATTGTGCTAACATAGGATACTAAAAATGCTGTACTAATAGGTATAGGGGATTATATACAGATTGTCGGACAACCCCTATTTATTTATTTGTCCCTTGGGTTCTTAGTGGAACATACGGTTTCAGTAGCACGTCTCCAGTACACTCTCTTCTCTGCAATCTTTTTAACCTGGCTCCACGATAGCTCAGAAGCTCTCATTTCTTCCTCACAGCATCTCCTCCATGTCACCTTCGCCTCGAACGCCCAACTCGTCGTTTCCCCTTTGGATTCCACTCGACGACCTCGCCTGGCGCGTGATATCCTCAATCGGTCTTCTCAGTGTATGCTCAATCCATCTCCACTTCCTTCTACTGCATATTTGTTGAGAGATAGGTTCTTGCTGCATTGGTTCGTTGGCAGGCCAGAGATCCTTATTGCTTATTCTCATTATTCTGGCCATCTGATCTTCAGTATTATTGAGCGTAGGCACTTGTTGATGAATAACTGTAGTTTGTTGGAAATGCCTTTCGTGACAATCTAAGTCTTTCAACCATCACATGAAAGCACTGAATTGATGTTGAAAATCCGGATGTTGATCACACTTTATGCTGAGTGGAGTGCAGAAGATCTCCACACTGGCTTCAGGTTAATGAACGCCTGTCTTGCTGTGTTTTCGATCCTGGCTGCTGTGACGTCCTCGTCTGTGCCACCGCTGGTAGTTGAAACGGTGCTGCTTAGATAGGTGTAGGTGAAATAGGCTACTTCCTTTAAGTTTCTCCCATTGGTGGTGACTGGAGCCTGTTGTTGTTGGTGGTGTTGGTCGCGTATCATCTCTGTCTTCTCTACGTTCACTTGAAGTTCCGTTTACGCTGCCCTGCCTCTTCTGTCAACTTGTTGGATTTCACCTGTAGATCTTCAAGTTTGTATGACACTAGACACAAGTCATCGTTGGCGAAATCCAAATTTTCCAGGCTCTTTTGCCCAGTCCAGCGTATCCCCCTCTTCTCGGTCCTAACGGTTTGTTGCATGATCCAGTTGACCACAATCAGGAAGATCATGGGTGATAGTAGGCGGCAGCCTTGTTTTACTCCTGTCTTAAAAGACATCACTGGCCTTCCCATTGTGAATTACTTGGCATATGGCGTCTTCATATATTTGTTGAATGAGACTGATAAAGGTTTGTGGTATTCTGTAGTGTTGAAGCAGTTGCCAAATTACCTCTCGGTCGACGCTGTCGCCTGGCCCTAAGCCCGGTTAAAGAGGGAAGGTTGGGCATACGGCTAGCGACCCTACCCCATAAAACCAATCCAACCGCTACAGAAACTTCAAAGCACAGACAACCCCTAATAATAATAATAATAATAATAATAATAATAATAATAATAATAATAATAATAATAATAATAGTCACTTTATTCCAAACAGTATGGTTGGTACAGCTTGAAATTTTCAACAGATATACTCTTTGTACAATAGTTTGAAACCGACATAATTGCAGTATCTCGATAATAACAATAACGACCAACTATTATTAGGTTATCGTCTGATCTGAAGAAGGAAATGAATAGAAACAGGGTGCATAACCTTAATGGTGGTCCATTTAGCCAGTAGGAAAATCTGCAATTCGAGCTAACTATATAAGAAATAGTTATATGATGTACTGTTTTGGATTAAAAAACTGATATCCTCTCTACTATGATATATTTCTCATCATTTTATTGCCAACTTACGAAACAATTAATTAAAAACATGCTTAAAATACATGATAGTACATAATGAAATTTGAAGACATTTGAAAGATTTACAAAAGTTGAAAGTCCTCAGAGATTCAAGCGGTTTGCGGGTTGATGAGATTTTGAATATCAAGAGTTAGGTAGTGCGCTTAAGATTTGTGTGATCTTAATATTTCAAGGCAGTAGTATAGCTTGTCTAGATTGTCATTTACAAACACAACTTTCATTGTAATCACAGTATTCTTATCAGAAATCACCGTTGTCTTTGTAACATATACCATTTATCGTGCATCCACCACAATAGTAAAGTCGAAGTTAAGCATTTTGGGGAAAAGGTAAGTCAGTTATTTCATGAGGCTATGCTCCTCTATCGATTAAGGTAATTGGCATATTCATCGCACAGTGTAAATCATTGTCTGCTACATCTCACAATGCTAACCGGAGTAGCCTTAGGTTGTTGTGAAGTAGCCAAGGGTGACCAGATTAAGATGTGGCACTAAACCGCCAAGTCTCTGACTGTTGGTATGACTCGCATAGCGAAATGTAGACCTATAAATCAAGGTTTGCATGACAACTGAAACGGAGGGTTGTAGACTCTAGGTGACGTTGTTCGTTACTGATCACTGAGGTGCAAATTCATTCAGGCTTTATCTCCATCATTATCATCATATCACATTTCGTTGGTTACTTACTTTACTTCCTTCCTATTCTTTGTGTCTTTCGATTTTCTACGATGTTCAACTGCATTATTTTCATTTCTCTCATGAAATTCTATCTTGTGTGGTGAGGTTAGGTGTGGCGAATTGAGGTACTTCACAGTATTTTTGTGTGACTCACTTTAACACTGATTCCTTCAGATCTGTTTCTGATACTGTGGTGTCCGTATGATAGAATTCGTTAATCATACTTTTTAAATAGACAGATAAAAATATTGTCAACATCGCTACAGTGCTATTTGTTTTTCAGGTTTCTCATTTATTGCTGACATCATTAGACGAACATGTACCTTTCATCCAAACTGATTGATGCAAAGGGGTTCAGATGGCTAGAATTTTTTTATTTACCCGGCATCCAGCCTGAGCTTGAATTGGATGTCGATATCGGTCCTCCAACTCTCCCGAAGGTTGAGAAGGTTGCATCAAGCGCGAAACGATGCCAAGCAGCAGGATATGAATCTTCGCCATCGGAAAATTTAAAGGATGAAGCTAGTAAACTACTGAGTCGTATGACGGACGTACTAGGTAGTGTATGGGGATCGAGTTAGTCCTGTCAGACTGGTCTACTTCACTTTTTTCCCGGATCTGGGTGGTTTGAATGTGTTATGGATGTTGAGCGACTGCCTACTTGGACGTCCAGTGCTGGACAAAATAGGATTTGGTTGGAAGAAGGCTCAGGATAACCAGACCAAGACTTCGCATCATCCCATGAAGTCTCTGAGCTGTTTAGACAGATGTTGACCGCTTGGTTGAGGTCTTCGAGAAAATAGAAATCAATGGTTAGAGACCTTTTGTCACATAAGTGATGATCCATCACAATGGGGTAAATGCATTCACTGTATGACGTTTTTTAAAGTTTAGATATTGCCACTAACCAACATTTTTCAACTTCTTTCTCCTCCGATAAACTTTTTTATATTGTGATAAGACTTTTTTTTCTACCCAATTGTTCTTTGTATACTCCTGTGAAGTGTGGCAACTTGGACGAATGCACTTCTATACGAGGAGTTATGGTTCATTGGTTCAGGGAGTTGATTTTCAAGCGATGGATCATAGGTCGGAACCTTCGCCTAGTAGGTATAACCCACTGCCAGTTACACAAACGTGCACATAGTTTCTGATTATGAACCAACTTGTACTAGATTCTGTCTTGACTTTGTCTGTTTATGTATGTTTCTTCAGATGACATTAAGATGTAAGTCGTATGAGTGAAGAAAAAGTACGTGATTTTATTATAACTGAGTTGCTTACAGATGACAACTATATTCAGCTGGATTGCTTGATTACATTCTAAACTTGCCATAATTTATTCGGTAGTGTATAAATTGGAATTTTTCAATTCCTTTGAGTTAAGAAAAATTTCTACTTTTCCAGATGTGTTGTAAATAATTTATCATTTTTTTCAGAGGTGAAGATTCTGATCTACTCCAAGATGTTCCTGAATACCTTAGACCATCGATTGGTCAACAAAAAGAAGATATGTTATCCAATCAAATGTTATGTGGTATTCCTGAAGTTGACTTAGGTGTAGAAGCTAAAATGAAAAATATTGAGGCTACAGAAGAAGCAAAACAAATTTTATTAAAACAAAGATATCGAAGACATAACCATTTAATAGATGAAATGACACCAATGAATATGGCAGTAAATTTTGTTCAACATAGTCGATGGAGTAAGTTGATACTTTGAAATGTTAAATGTTTTAATCTTTTGGTTAGTTTGTCTTCATCTTAAGAAGGAGACATTTCATACAATTATTAGGACGCCACATGTCAAGTAATTCACAATGAGAAGGTCAGTGATGCTTTTGAAGTGAAGACAGGAGTGAAACAAGGTTGCCTACTATCCTCCATGATATTCCTGATTGTGGTCGACTGGATTAGGCAGCAAACAGTGGGGAGCGAGAAGAGGACGATACGCTGGACTGCGGGAAAGAACCTAGAAGATCTGGATTTCGCCAACGATGACTTGTGTCTAATGTCACACAAACTTGAAGATCTACAGGCGAAAACTAACAAGTTGGCAGAAGAGGCATGGCAGGGCAGCGAAGACAGGACTTCAAGTGAATATAGAGAAGACAGAAGTGATGAAGATACCGCACCACCACCACCAACAACAACAAACTCCAATCACCATCAACGGACAAACTTGAAGGAAGTAGCCTCTTCCACCTATCTAGTCAGAGCAGCACTGTTTCAACTACAGGCGGCACAGGCACAGACGAGGATGTCAAAGTCAGCCAGGATCGGAAAAGCAAGACAGGAGTTCATTAGCCCAGAAACCAGTGTGGAGATCCACGTCACTGCAGTCAGCACAAAGTGTGAACAACATCCGGATTTTCAACACCAATTCAGTCAAGTCAGTGCTGCTATGTGATGGTTGAGAGACTTGGCGCGTTACGAAAGGGATTTCCAATAAACTACAGACATTCATCAACAACTGCTTATACTGGCTCGCTACTGAAGATCAGATGGCCAGAATAATGAGAATAAGCAACAAGGAGCTATGGGAACGAACCAACCAAGAACGTATCACCCAACAAATATGCAGTAGAAGGAAGTGGAGATGGATTGGATTGGGCATACACTGAGAAAGCCGACTGGGGACATCACGCGTCAGGAGAGTTACTCGAGTGGAACCCCCATAGGAAGTGACGAGTTGGACGTTTGAGGATAGGGTGACATGGAGGAGATCGTGCGAGGAGGAAAAGAGAGCTTGTGGGCTGTTGTGGAGCCAGGTTGAAAAGATTTCAGCGAAGAGGGTGGAATGGAGACGTGCTACTGAAGCCGTAGGTTCCATTAGGAACCCAAGGGACTAATAATAATGATAATATTAATAGTTAATATCCTTATGAAGGTTTTAAGAAATACCTGTATACGCATATTACTCTCATCTTAGTCTCTATACTTCTCATCATCTCATTCTTTCTTCCTTTCTCTCTTACTACTTTCTACTTCTGCTTTTACTTCCTTTGATAGATTTTTTTATTTCCTTATTCATTTTCCATTTTATTGTTTTGTTACTTGATGTACTGATATAAGCTGTGGCAACTTGGACCGTTACGCAGTAATGCTTTGTTGTATGTTGATTTTGATGATGATGATGATGATTTATTTCGAACACAGATTGGGTATAAAATATAAAGGTCACACAAAATAAAATAGCAACACCAAGATGGAAAGACAAGTAATGCATAGAGAGAGAAGGTGAAAGCATAAAAATTTAGCTGAAAATTGATTATTGGATCAGCATTCTCAAAGATGTATTCTAGGAAGCTTACATTACTTTTATTTTACTTCTTACTTCGAAGAATTTAATAAGCTACCACACAATCGCTACTGACTTCAAGTCTGAACCATACCTGCTATCGCCTGAAGTCACTGAGTTGCATAATCTCTGGAGTTTTATTCTCGAAGTCGTTAGACGGTGACATATGTTAGCCACCTCTTCACTTTCAACCAGTACGAAGGCTAGCAAACAGTTGATGAGTGGTATTTAAGGAGCTGGGATATAACACTGGTAGCACATGTTCAAGACATTGAAACCGGTGCTTCAAAACGACTTTACTCAGTGGATGATGATTTCCATTACAACTAAACATGTATCGCCTCATCTCAGAATTACGTTGGTGGTGTTTCCGCTGGATACCAACAATCTTAGTGTGACAACGATGGTGAAACAGTCAGACTCATCATATATATCCAGCTTGGAGACGTTAGGTACGTCTCACTTCACAGGGATTGAACTACTTACTCCCTACAGGTCATCCGGTTGACTCTGAGTATGCAAACGATGCTATCCTGCTGGGTGAAGGCGCTGACAAAATACAGGCTCTTCTGAATGCATGGAGCAGAAATCTGAGTATGCTTGGCATGCATTCCTTACCTGTCAATGGTAACATGACGCTCCAAACTGGTCTGCAACCATACAAAATTGAATGATAAAGAGTGAAGTTGTGGAATGTATTGACCACTTCATTTAATTGGTGACTTGCATCACCCTGAACAGACTAGTTACTGAAGAAGTCTCAGCTTGTATACAGAAGGCTAGTTTGGCATTTACTAACTCGCGTCAACTTTGGCACCGACTGGCGATCTATCCGACAATGTATCAAAGGATGAGTATACTTCACTGCAGTTCGTTCTGTCCTGTTACATGAGTGTGAGACACGATCGTTGAAAGTAGAATAAATGAATCGGTTTCATGATTTTGATCACATGTATGTTTGTTGCATTTCTCTCATTTGATGGAATCTCCATGTGAGTAATGTTGAAGTCGGTAATAGTCAAGATAGGCAAGTGGATTGATGAGGTTATGAAGTTTCATTGTCTGAGGTGGTTTGGACATGTGTTACGCATGCTGATCCACTGTCTACCTTAATGTTCCATACTAGGCAAAACGGTATTATTATTATTATTATTATTATTAGTCCCTTGGGTTCCAAGTGGAACATAGGGCTTCAGTAGCACGTCTCCATTTCATCCTGATCTCTGAGATCTTTTGAACCTGGTTCCACGACAGCCCACAAGCTCTCATTTCCTCCTCGCACGACCTCCTCCATGTCACCCTCGGACGTCCAACTCGTCGCTTCCCATGAGGATTCCACTCGAGTAACTGGCCTGACGCGTGATGTCCTCAGCCGGCCTTCTCAGTGCATGGCCAATCCATCTCCACTTCCTTCCAGTGCATATTTGTTGCGTGATAGGTTCTTGGTTGGTTCGTTCCCAGAGTTCCTTGTTGCTTATTCTCATTATTCTGGCCATCTGATCTTCAGTAGCGAGCCAGTGTAGGCAGTTGTTGATGAATGTCTGTAGTTTATTGGAAATGCCTTTCGTGACGCGCCAGGTCTCTGAACCATACAGGAGCACTGACTTGTCGTTGGTGGTTTGGACATGTGTTACGCATGCTGATCCACTGTCTACCTTAATGTTCCATACTAGGCAAAACGGTATAGGCTTATATAAAGGTTCAAGGTAACCAGATCATAAAGTCTCTGACTGTTAGTCGTGTTGGAAGATGTAGACTGCCTTGTTAAGGTCTCCGAGACGATAAGAATCAGTGATTGAGGATTGACTTTTGATGACATGGCTGAAAACTGGTCACAATGATGCATTTTTATTCACTCCTTGACGTCGTGTAAAATTTGAATATTTGCAGTAACCGTAATCATATTTACTGTTATAGTACCACTGCTTTAAGTTCCTCATAGTTTTCTTCTTAAGATAATGTGAATCAAGCCTTTTTATCGGTTTATTAATTGAGAATTTGGCTTATTTTGTTCATAATATAGATGATATTTCATTTCTTTGCTTTCAAAAGCAAGTAGTATATATTTATAGAGTTGTGGTTCATTGTTTAACTTGTAGCCTACTCCATTTATTGTGTTTCAAGCAACCAGATAGTATCTCATTAACCCTTATAAAATAGTTCTGACTCGTTGTTTTAGTATATGATTACTCAAATGGTTTGAGAGACAGTTTGCTTTAGTTTGTATTTCCCAATGTCACATGTAAGGCATCTATTTGCTTATACATATGCCTATCAATTTTTTCTTCAATAGTCTGACTGATAAACTTAGACAGTCGATTTGAAGTGCTACATTTTTTGAACATTGTAGTGTCGTATAATAAAAATGTCAGACGAGAAGCAAATGGTAGTATGTGGAATATAAACCTGGAATATTGGTTTATCTGATATTCCTAGCTAGATAAATTGTTAATACAACAATATCTAAGGAATGAACTATGTCCATTCTTCATGCAACATGTCAAACCTTCAATCTTCTGTATTTCAATTTCCCCAAAGCGGTAGGGTAGGGCGCCAACCTACACTTATTAACTGTAATGACCGAGTGGTAGGGTTGCGCGCTTGGGTATAATAATGAATACTGAGACTCAATAGACACCTCAACCGAATACCTTTACGACTGACCTCCGTCAATACCTTCTGCTTCAGTGAACCGCGGAGAAATTAAAAGAAAAAGACGGCCTGTGACTGCAAGAACAGCGTAAACAACAACAACTTTTATCAGGCAAATACATGACATAAATGTAGTTACAAAACTCTCAGAAAGTGAAGCCATAAATGAACCAATTAGATTTCTTGTATGGGGTCTAATTTCTCCAATCAGGTTCTCATGTCAGCGCATGCATAAATTATGACCTGAACATGATGTGATCATGACTTGAAAACAACTCCCCTATTGACTGCCTTCTTGTCGCTACGTATTACTAACACTACCTATTCTGGTTACTTAGTGGATTTATACTGTCTCTTCGATGTACTACCTTGAATTTTTTTTATCCAGCTGATAGATCATACATTCACATTCATTACAGAGATATACATTCGTTGTAGACTGACTTGACATCTACACATGAATAATACTATCATGTACACTTCGACTATTGGATAATCATATTCATGGTAGAGTATTTTTTCTATGACGCAAATAACATATTTCTTGTGGTGGTTCTGGGTGATAATTCGAAGTTTGTCATCTGAGATTTTTGTATTCGTTCTCATATGTCAAGTAGGTGAAGTGATGGGTAGTCTGAAATACAAAGTTGTAAGGTTTCATGCTATAGCATTGGAGTCGTGCTACCAGGGAATCAACTCAATTACCTTCATTATCTAATTTACGTTAACAGTTATAGGTCCACTGGGTTTTTTTCTTTCGGGTGAATTACTAATCGTTTCTTTCAGTTTCTGACAATGCATCTTCTTGATGACCAACTGCACGGTATACATTAGGTGATTTGTGTTGTCATTCTTTTTTCTTCAATTATACCTCTTTAGAATAGGAAGTACAATGAACTAACGCGTCATAGATATAGACAAAACCTGCGTCTTAGATTCCATTGCTAGTGATCACGAAGCAAATTATAACATAATAGATCTTCAGGCCATTAATAAAGCACTGACAACAGAAAGTCGCAAGTATCAATAAATGACCGTTCCAAAGATATTTTTTTTTCATCTTATAAAACGAACTTCATGTGTGTTGAAGGTACCGGATAAAGAGGTATTTCGGTAGTCCGAATTAGAATGTAGGTCGTGTTATATAACCAAGTAGTATATGTAGCATGTTATCAACCTTTTATTAGGGCCTCCTCTGAATCACAAATCGATCGTTTTCGGTTTGTTCATCTCTTTGTATATATATATATATATATATATATATATATATATATATATATATATATATATATATATCCAGTAGGTGCTGCTAAAAATGTCGAATGTAGGAGATTAAGTCAAATATTAGGAGTCTCCATCTACTTGTATGAGTCTTGGACTGAGTCATCCAGTTACTCGATTCTGTCTCAAAACCTATCGCGTTGATTGATATTCACTTTCCTTATTTCATAGTACTTTTATCATTTGATTGGAAATAAATCACTGATCAAACTGTCAGTAGATAATTATTATTATTTATCCCTTGGGTTCCTAGTGGAACATAGGGCTTCAATAGCACGTCACCATTTCACTCTCTTCTCTCTAGTCTTCATTTACAACCTGGCTCCATCACTGCCCACAAGCTTTCACTTCCTCTTCCCACCATCTCCTCCATGTCACCCTCAACTCGGATACCCAACTCGTCGTTTCCCCTTTAGATTCCAGTCGAGGACCTCGCCTGGCACGTGATATCCTCAATCGGTCTTCTCAGTGTATGCTCAATCCAATTCATCGCCACTTTATTCTACTGCATATTCGTTGAGCGATAGGTTCTTGCTTTGTTGGTTCATTGGCAGGCCAGAGTGAGTTCCTTGTTGCTTATTCTCATTATTCTGGCCATCTGATCTGATCTGATCTGATCTGATGTTCAGTATTGAGCCAGTGTAAGCAGCTGTTGATGAATGTCTGTAGTTTGTTGGAAATGCTTTTCGTGACAATCGATGTCGGTCAACCATATAGAAGTACTGACTTGACTAAATTGATATTGAAAATCCGGATGTTGTTCACACTTTGTGCTGAGTGCAGTGCAGTGCAGTGCAGTAGATCTCCACCCTGATTTCAGATTAATGCAGGTAGGCCTGTTTTGTTGTCTTTCCGATTCTGGTTTTGACGTCTTCATCTGTGTCTTTGTCACCAGGCGAGGCCCTTGAGTGGAATCCAAAAGGGAAACGACGAGTTGGGCGTCTGAGGTGAGGGTGACATGGAGGAGATGGTGGGAAGAGGAAGTGAAGGCTTGTGGAAAGTAGTGGAGCCAGGTTGAAAATGAAGACTAGAGAGAAGAGAGTGAAATGGTGACATGCTACTGAAGCCCTATGTTCCACTAGGAACCCAGGGGAAAAGTAGTAGTTATAATTTCCAGTCTTCATTTTCAACCTGTCTCCACCACTGCCCACAAGCTCTCACTTCCCCTTCTCACCATCTTCTCTATATCATCCTCACCTCGGATGCCCCACTCGTCGTTTCCCCTTTGGATTCCACTCAAGGGTCTGGGGTGATGACAGTAATTACTACATTAGAAAATGTCTGTATGCATAATAATTGATGATTAAATATTTTTTTTAAAAGATTTTTTCATATTATCAATTAAGGCTATCTATGATATCTGTGGTTTGTTCAATTGAGGTGTTTATTACTGGTTGGCTGATAAAATATAAAGCTTGTTTCTTTTTTATAGATAATTATACAAATGGAATTAATAATAGGAGAGCTGATGTTCACGGTAAACGAGAACGTAATCATACTGGTAACATGGAGAAATCAGTAAACATGAAGGATAATGTTAGAGGAAGGGGAATGCGATGTTCAGAGAGTGAGTTCACTTTAATTTCTTGCCTTTTTATAATACATTTCAATGAAATTGTTTGTAAATTACCTGGATATTCTATTACACTCTGTATGTAACAAGCAAGTATATAATTACAATTAACAGGATTATTTTTAAAAAACATTCTACTTAGTGGTGCTTAGTAATGGGAATCTAGACTGAATGTTTCGTTCCATTTTGCACTCATCAGCAATCGGATGTACTTGATAGTGTTCTCATTCAATTAATTGATTATTCATTTCGATCCGATGACCTGTGTTTAATGTCACACAAGCTTGAAGATCTACAGGCAAAATCCAACAAGTTGACAGAAGAGGCAGGACAGCGAAGATGAGAAGACAGAGGTGATGAAGATATCCAGACCAACACCAACAACAAACGCCAATCACCATCAATGGGAGAAACTTAAAAGAAGTAGCCTCTTTCACCTACACCTATCTAGGCAGCACCGTTTCAACTGCCAGCCGTTGCACAGACGAGGACGTCAAAGCAGCCAGGATCGAAAAGACAGCAAAGCAAGCGTTCATTAACCTGAAGCCAGTGTGGAGATCTTCTGCACTCCACTCAGCATAAAGTGTGAACAACATCCGGATTTTCAACATCAATTCAGTCAATTCAGTGCTTTCATGTGATGGTTGAGAGACTTGGAGCGTCACGAAAGGCATTTCCAACAAACTACAGTTATTCATCAACAAGTGCCTACGCTCAATAATACTGAAGGTCAGATGGCCAGAATAATGAGAATAAGCAATAAGGAACTGTGGCCTGCCAACGAACCAATGCAGCAAGAACCTATCTCTCAACAAATATGCAGTAGAAGGAAGTGGAGATGGATTGAGCATACACTGAGAAGACCGATTGGGGACATCATGTGCCAGTCCAGTTGCTCGAGTGGAACGTAGATGGGAAACGACGAGTTGGGCGTTCGAGGCGAAGGTGACGTGGAGGAGATGGTGTGAGGAAGAAATGAGAGCTTCTGGGCTGTCGTGGAGCCAGGTTGAAGAGATTGCAGAGAAGAGAGTGTACTGGAGACGTGCTACTGAAACTGTATGTTCCACTAGGAACCCAAAGGACAAATAATATAATAATAATAATAATAATAATAATAATAATAATAATAATAATAATAATAGGATTTCTTTCAGTTTAATGTAGAACTACTGAGGTTTAATACTTTATAGTGTATTTTTTATTAAACACGTGTTAGATTATTAAATTAAGTTGGAATTCATCTTGCGCTCATGGGTAACTAGGTTTGAAATATGGTTTCGGAAGTCCCGATGAGAAGCTGTGACCAGTGGAGTCAACTAAGTTGAACATGAGGACAGTTACTCAACGACAACATTGGATGTAGATCACGCTGTATCATGAACTGACAGAATCGGGAAATGTGGACGACTGAATTCCGAACCAGTAGATTAATAATGGTATTGCTTTGGCCGTGAAACTTGAAGTTCCTGGGTTCTACCCCTGGCGAGGTGTGTTCATGGGTGTACACTGCTGAGGAGTTGCATACTAGGACAAAGCCGTCCACTACTTCCAGGTTCCCATTATTCTTCCAACTGATGTCAATCCATGATGGATTCCAACCTAAAATCGGTTCATAAACCTCTAGGTCGTATTAAATTAAGTGTTGATGTGCCTCCCCCCTCCGCATAGACCTATTGAACATTAGTTCTCTTGCCTTTTATAATGAATCTTAGCAGTCGGATTTCTACATGTATCGGCTATTCCTTTCTTTTTCGTTATTCGTTCTCAACCCCTACTCTATACTATAAGTTGTAATATTGTCTCTGTGTGTGTTCACTTGGACAATGTAGTTTCTAAAATTGATAAGCTGTGGGGAAAATTAGTATCATGTCTTCTTACTTGTTATGAGTCGTGAATTTTTTCAGCTTCCGTATTCCAATCATCGTGTACATCTGACTGATTATTAGTTTACAGTGAATTACTCACTCCGTGTGGCCTAGTATTCACCACACAGTTATTAGGAAATCATATAGAAACGGAAGGCCCGTTCGAAATTTACCAACTTACGTCATCTATGGCGTATTATCCGACTATCTACCAGAGGACGAGTGTACTGCGGTGGAGACCGTTCTGTCATGTTGTACGGATTTGTGACAGCCGCTAAAAATTGAAGAAATGAAGTGGTTAAAGGTTTTCGATTATAGGTACTTCTCGTGTTTGGTGGAATCGCTGCGTGAGGACTGTTGAATTCAAGAGAAGGGTACTAGGTAAGTTAGTCAACAAGGTTGTTGGACCTTCGTTGGCTGAGGTAGTTTGCACATATGTTATGCATGCCAATCCTTTGCCTACCTTAACGTGTCATACTAGGCAAAGGGGGATTAGGTTAGAGGAAGTTTCAAGGTGATTAGACCAAGACCTGACATCAGTCGATAAAGTCTGTTGCTATCGGTCTGAGTTATGTGAGGAGGTGTAGACTGTCTTGGTTGTATTGTGTTCTCTGAGCTGGGTTGTTTAATCGTGAATTCGACAATGTAGAAATTTTGGACAGAGGAAACACAAAAAATGTCAGAATTCCTAGAAGCTTGTCATTCAGGTCAGTCAGCAATCAACAGATGTATAGACATAGATCCAGTCTGTCAACCAATAAGAAAAATGATAAACGAAAGAAAGGTGAGAGGTCAAGGAGAGGAATAGCCAACAGGAAAGTCCATACAGTCAGTGACAGGACAGTCGAAGGAAACAACCAATCACAGACCACATCGTCAGAGTAAGCCACTAAATCACTGACGGAGAGATGTTGACAGCTCGCTGCTTCATACTGAAGTTAGTGCTGATGACGTCGTCTAGAAAGACGATGAAATTTTCACGATTAAACAACCCAGCTCAGAGAACACAATAAAACCAAGACCATCCACCTGAGCTGCAAATATTCTCCATTATTTCAGATATAGACTGTGCCTGGTTGGGGTCCGAGAGATGATAGGAATCAATGATTGAGGAGTGACTCTTGGTGACGTGGCTGAAAATCGGTCACATTGATGCATATGTATTCACTCCTTGACGTCTTGTAAAGTTTGAATATATGCACTAACCTTTATCTTCTTTGATATCAATTTTTTTCTGTTTACCTGCTCTCTGTATATACTACTGTGAAATGTGACATCATGAGCTGATACACTTATGTTCTTGGTTCTTTTTCTATGCTCCTACTTTTACCTGAAGCTTACAAAGCTTGGTATTTTCCTCTAACTAAGTTTATTATTGCTATTTATGCGCTCTGTTGGCGCAGTTACTAGGTTTTGTTCTTCTCACTACTTCTGAAGACTAAACTCTCATTGGTTGTTTACTGTTGTCTTCGCGTCCCTGTAGTATTGTTGTTGTGGTGGTGGTGGTTAACTTTCTGATAAGTGATTAGAATAGACTCCTTAGGTGTTAGATTTGTATCATTCTTAGCCTATTAAGTCAAATTATTGGTCATAACATTATACATTGATTTTGTCTTTTTGCCTTTCCGTCGAAAATCGTACTATTTCCTTAGAGTTCAATCGAAAGGTATCAAAGCTTGTATATCATACCGTTATTACTGTGATTCCACTGTAGCTGTAGCTCATTAGTTTAAGGAGATGACTTTCGACTAGTAGTAAATCATGGGTTCAAACACTTCTCCACTTACTAAAGTTTCAGCAATTAGGATGTAAGTATCATTAAGCATCATATCATAGGTGTGATTCATTACCTATTGGGTATTTAGTTGCTGAGTATAGTCCTTAAGTGATTACTTCATATCATCATCGTGCCGAAACTTGTTTATATACACATGAAGGTTTACAATTTATTCATCTATTCATCAGTGTCTTGTTCATTCATGCTAGTAATCGAGTTGTTGTATATCTGTGTATCTATCAATCCTCCACTTTTGTAATATTGTGATATTATCCTTGTAAAATATACCTTTATGGATAATTGTTAATTTTAGTTATTTGTCCCCTGGTTTTATCTCTATCTAGATGGAACTTCACATATTCAAGCAGAAAAATCAACAGATAATATTGCACTTCAACGATTCAAAATTTTATGCGGGATAAAAAACGTCGTTGATATCTTGTTCTTCATCTTTATAATTGATATTTTATTTTATGTATGCTCAAGTTACTCTATCTAACTTTATTTACTAGTTTAAATTGTATATTATTATAACTTTTCAAGTGTATATTGTAAATATGATCTACAACTACTATTGGTTTTTCATTATTATTGTTATTATTAGTCCTTTGGGTTCCTAATGGAACATACGGCTTCAGTAGCACGTCTCCAGTGAACTCTGTTCTCTGAAATCTTTTCAACCTGGCTCCACGACAGCCCACAAGCTCTCATTTCCTCCTCGCACGATCTTCTCCATGTCACCCTATCCTCGAACGTCCAACTCGTCACTTCCCATGGGGATTCCACTCGAGTAACTCTCCTGACGCGTGATGTCCCCAGTTGGCTTTCTCAGTGTATGCCGAATCCAATCCATCTCCACTTCCTTCCAGTGCATATTTGTTGGGTGATAGGTTCTTGGTTGGTTCGTCCCCAGAGCTTCTTGTTGCTTATTCTCACTATTCTGGCCATCTGATCTTCAGTAGCGAGCCAGTGTAAGCAGTTGTTGATGAATGTCTGTAGTTTATTGGAAATCCCTTTCGTAATGCGCCAAATCTCTCAACCATCACATAGCAGCACTGACTTGACTGAATTGGTGTTGAAAATCCGGATCTTGTTCCGCATGCTGAGTGCAGAAGATCTCCACACTGGTTTCAGGCTAATGAACGCCTGTCTTGCTTTTCCGATCCTGGCTGACTTTGACATCCTCGTCTGTGCCTGTGCCGCCTGTAGTTGAAACAGTGCTGCTCTGCCTAGATAGGTGTAGGTGGAAGAGGCTACTTCCTTTAAGTTTCTTCCGTTTATGGTGATTGGAGTTTGTTGTTGCTGTTGGAGTTGTTGGTGCGGTATCTTCATCACCTCTGTCTTCTCTATAGTCACTTGAAGTGCCGTCTTCGCTGCCCTGCCATGCCTCTTCTGCCAACTTGTTAGTTTTCGCCTGTAGATCTTCAAGTTTGTGTGACATCAGACACAAGTCATCGTTGGCGAAATCCAGATCTTCTAGGTTCTTTTCCACAGTCCAGCGTATCCCCCTCTTCTCGCTCCCCACTGTTTGCTGCCTGATCCAGTCGACCACAATCAGGAATATCATGGGGGATAGTAGGCAACCTTGTTTTACTCCTGTCTTCACTTCAAAAGCATCACTGAGCTTCCCATTGTGAATTATTTGGCATGTGGCATCTTCATATAGTTGTTGAATGAGACTGATAAAGGTTTGCGGTATTCCGTAGTATTGAAGAAGTTTCCAAATTACTTCAATTGAGATGACTGGTTGGGACACGTGGTACATATGCCTAGTCATCGATTGCCTCATCACATAATGCTGGCCGAAGTAGGTGCAGGCTGGAAAAAGGCCCGAGGTGGCCAGACTAAAACATGGCACCAATGTATGAGCCATATGGGGCGATGCAGACTAGCCAGCCGGTTGGGGTCTATGGGACAAGAGGAACCAACGGTGGTTGGAGACTGACTCTAGGTGATATGGCTGAGAACCGATGTCAGTGACGCAAACGTTTACACAGATTATCCTCATCTTAATGACGCTATATCTATTCTCACCATTTTGTCATTCTTCCTTTCTTCTCGTACTTTATATTCCTTATGACTGAATATTCTTATCTTCATCTTTCACCTCACTGCTTTTCTACTTGATGTACTGATATGAGTTGTGGCGGCAACTTGGACCGTTACGCAGTAATGCTTGATGATGATAGTCACAAAGATGCCTAATTGGGAATTAAAATCTTTTGCCTAATTAATTAACTATCCTCCTTTTCATGTTGTTTATGAGCAATGTGGATGTCTCTTCTAAAGTCGTTGTCGTCGTCGTCGTCGTCACAATATGATTCTGAGATATATGCGTTTTATTAGTGTTCATTACTGTTGGAAAACAAGCGATTTCATGCATTAAAATTGTTAATAATTTGGGTAGTGCAGACAGATAGACAAAATCAATGTACAACTTGGCACACAAGTGTTTCACTTCAAGTTGCCATACTTTACAGTAGTACTAGTAGTATAAAAGAATTATGTTACATAAGAGCCAGTCGTCAACGTCTCATTCGTTTCATCTTGGGGACCCTTACTGGGGAGTCTACATCTCCCTACACGACTTAGACCAATAGTCAGAGACCTTATCGAATGGTGCCATGTCTTGGCACCAGTGTTAGTAATCAGACTAGGAGTAGTTAGTTAGCGACTGTCCGTTGTAAACAGCAATTAAAAATGATCTATATTATTTTATTACTTAAGTGAAATAGTAACAGCATCCAGTTGGTTGATGCACATCTGAGGAATACTAAACAGCTATTAAATACTCATAGTTTTTAATGCCAGTTATATTCAGTGTTGGAAAAACTATGTTTACATCAATCTATTATTAAATACCTTTTGGTTACACTTCCTATTCAAAAATGTTGACCGAAGTTAAGGTTGTTTAGATTTCCAAGGTAATTGGCATCAGCTTGCCACTCAGTGGTTGGAAAGCAGGAGCCTACATCAATGAGTCACAGCTCCGACTACACTTGCAGTGAACAAAGTTAAAAGATACTAAATTGAAGAAGCAACCAAATTGATGGGAGCAAAGTCTAATGCATTCATAAATTGCTGTAAACACAGCGTTGAAGACTATAGCTGACTCTCAGAGAGTGGTTAAACAGGGCCAGTGGATTGCAGTCGATTCTTCTGAATTAATGGATGCACACGAACGCATCTTTATAAGCTTCGAGTACAATAAGAAGTGGGGGCAACTCAAACGGAGACTGACCAACAGTCTACGCAATGGCTACGAACGGTGGCGGACAGCGAAGGCTGAAGAGATAGAAAAGGCAGCGATAACAGTAGACAGTTATATTACACTTATCAAGGAAAATGGAACAAAAAGGTCAGTGGTTAGTGAAACGATAGAAGAGAAGGATGCGTATGCCATTCACTTGCAGGGGAGACGACCGGAACGATGAGTGGAACAGTCCAACTGGCCTGCAGCTACTACTGTGTTGCTTGCTATCCAGTCGGAGCCTGAATGGAAGGTCGAGATAGGACCCCTAACACGTACAGAAGTCCAGAAAGTGGTAGGTAATCTAAAATGAGAAAGAGTGGCAGGTTCAAATGGACTAATTCTAGAGGTGTTTAAGGTCGGTAGTCGAGGATTTTCAGTCAAGTTAATCGAAGTTTTAACTGTGCGGAAGTGAGATACGATGCCCACTGACTGGTCTAGGTCGCATTCTTCCAGTCTTTAAGAAAGGTGAGAAGTCCTCTTATGATAACCACAGGGGAATCAGCCTAAGATTCCACGCTCGATAATCAACAGACGTCTGATTGGAGCTCAGGAACAGCAAGGGCGAGAAAACCAGACAGGTTTCAGGCCTTGCCGTGAATGTATTGTCCAGGTTCTGGAAAACAGGCCTACTTAACGACGCCTAACATTGGCTGCATTTCTCGACCTGAAGGCGGCGTTCGATTTCGTCGATTGATAGGTCTGTCCCCGAAAGGAGTGCCGTCTAAGTACACTCTCTTGAAGGTCGTTTAATCGAACACCAATAGGAGTGTTAAAAGAATTCTCTGCAAGGATACAAAAGGCTCGGTTGGATTTTGCCAACATACATGATCTGTGACGCCTCCGTGATATCCGATTGCCTATTCATGGTCGAATGTACTGTGCTGCTGTTCGCTGTATTCTACTTTATGGCTGTGAAACATGGGCATTAAATCTAGAGGATATGAGAAGACAAGAAATGCTTGACCACCGTTTCCTTTGTAGCATAGGCCGTGTTTTGTGGTGTCACCATGTGAGTAACGCAGAAGTCAGACGTAGAGTTTTAAGAAGTAGAAAGTCAGTTGATAAGGTCGTGAACCTTCATTGACTCACGTGGCTGTGGCGTGAGTTATGTAAGCCTGACTACCGTCAGCCTCATCTCACAATGTTGGCTGAAGTAGGTTCAGGCTGGTAAAATGCTCATGGTGAGCAAACTGAAACATGGCATCAATGCGTGAAGTCTTTGACTGTTGCTTTGAGCCATGTTGGGAGATGCAAACTAGCTAGTTGGGGTACGCGGGAGAAGAGAGACTAGCTGTTGGAGACTCTAGGTGATATGGCTGAGAATCGTTGTCAGTGACCTAGATGTGTCCACACGTCTGAACCGTTATACAGAATCTCACCGTTTTCTCATTCTTCCTTTCTCTTTTGTTGTTTTCTGCTGGTTCTGACCAAATTTTCTCTTTTTTTCATCATTGGTTTATTTGATATGCAGATATGAGGTGTGACAACTTGGACTGTTGTGCAGTGATGCCTGATCCTATGTTTAGATTGATGGTGATAATAGTGTTTTCCGGTCAAATATCTTAAATTTAACGCTGTATGTGGTGGTTACTTGTTAGAAAAAATCATTTAACAGTTTGAACTTGCAATCATTTAGGTATTTGTTTTACCTTCTAAACTTACAGAGTAGTATACTGTTATGCGTTGACATTTTTGGTAAGCGTAAAATGAGAACTACCTCGTATTGACTAGTATAAGGCATTCTCAGTCTATAAAGCCATTATTATTCTGTCTGATATGCATTAGAAACTATAGAAGTAGAGGAAAATATTTATAGCTCAGTTGAATGATGTTGGTTATTTTGCGTTCTCTGAGCTTGGCGGTTTAATCGTAGAGATTTCATCGTCTTTCTAGACAGCGACATCATCAGCACTGTCAGTATCTCTCCATGAGTGATTTAGTGGCTTGCCCTGAAGATGTGGTATGTGATTGGTTGTTTCCTTCGACTGTCCTGTCATTGATTATATAGATTTTCTCATTGACTTTTCTTCTTCCTGACTTTTGACCTTTCTGTTGTTTATCATCTTTCCTATTGGTTGACAGAGTGGATCTATGTCTATACATCTGTTGATTGCTGACTGACCTGAATGACAAGCTTCTAGGAATTCTCTGACATTCTTTGTGTTTCCTCTGTCCATGATTTCTATATTGTCAAAATTCAATTCATGTCCATGTTTGTTATCCATGTGTGCATTAAAGTGAACGAT